TTTCCTCCGTAAGCAATGCGTGTTGTAAAAGTCAACTAAAATGCCGGGGACAATGGGCTAGTAACCCCTTTTCTTGTAATAATTACTAAAAAGAATAAGAAGAAAATTGTCAAAGTGGGAAGTCTGAATGTGCGTGGATGTTGTGCAAATGATAAGAAAGAGATGATTGAGGATGTTATGAATGAGAAGAAGCTGGATGTCCTCGCTTTACGTGAAACAAAGATGAAGGGGGTAGGCGAGTTTCAGTGGAGAGGAATAAATGGGATTAGGTCAGGGATTTCAAATAGAGTTAGAGCTAAAGAAGGAGTAGCAATAGTGTTGAAGGATAAGTTATGGCAGGAAAAGAGGGACTTTAAATGTATTAATACAAGAATTATGTAGAGGAAAATAAAGGTTGGATGTGAAAAGTGGGTTATAGTTAGCGTATATGCACCCGGAGAAGAGAGAAGTGTAGAGGAGAGAGAGAGATTTTGGGAAATGTTGAGTGAATGCGTGGGGAGTTTTGAACCAAGTGTGAGAGTAATGGTAGTTGGGGATTTCAATGCTGAAGTGGGCAAAAATGTTGTGGAGGGACAGGTAGGTAAATTTGGGGTGCCAGGGGTAAATGAAAATGGGGAGACTTTAATTGAGCTATGTGTAGAAAGAGGTTTAGTAATAAGTAATACATATTTTATGAAGAAGAGGATAAATAAATATACAAGGTATGATAGAGCACGTAATGAAAGTAGTTTGTTAGATTATGTATTGGTGGATAAAAGGTTGATGGGTAGGCTTCAGGATGCACACGTCATAGAGGGGCAACTGATATATCGGATCATTATTTAGTTGTAGCTACAGTTAGAGTAAGAGGTAGATGGGAAAAGAGGAAAATGGCAACAACAAGCAAGAGGGAGGTGAAAGTGTATAAACTAAGGGAGGAGGAAGTTCGGGTGAGATGTAAACAACTATTGGCAGAAAGGTGGACTGGTGCAAGTATGAGCAGTGGATGGGGGGGGGAGGTTGAAGAGGGCTGGAATAGTTTTAAAAATGCAGTATTAGAATGTGGGGCAGAAGTTTGTGGTTATAGGAGGGTGGGTGCAGAAGGAAAGAGGAGTGATTGGTGGTGGAATGATGAAGTAAAGGTTGTGATAAAAGAGAAAAAGTTAGCTTATGAGAGGTTTTTACAAAGCAGAAGTGTTATAAGAAGAGTAGAGTATATGGAGAGTAAAAGAAAGATGAAGAGAGTAGTGAGAGAGTGCAAAAGGAGAGCAGATGAAAGAGTGGGAGAGGCACTGTCAAGAAATTTTAATGAAAGTAAGAAAAACTTTTGAAGCGAGTTAAACAAGTTAACCCTTTCAGGGTCTGTCCCATTGATCTACGGCTTTACGTTCAGGGTCCAAACCGTAGATCTACGCCATGAGCTCAGCTCACTCTGATAAACTGTGAGTGGTACATTTGGGCCTAGATATGAGAGAATACATCTATGTGGTATGTGTGCACCACATAAAACAAATCCTGCAGCACACTGTGTATGAGAGAAAAAAAAACGAGACAATGATTTTCGATTAACACAGAGATTTTACAGTGTTTTTTCGTATGTTTTTTATAGTTGTATTTGCGATTTCTTGGTCTCATTTGATAGAATGGAAGACATATTACAGAAACAGAGATGATTTTGATTGGTTTTAGCACTGGAAATGGCTTGAAACTGAGCTCAAAGTAGTGGAAATGTTAAATTTTTGCCTATGTTCAGGAGTAAACAAACGACCTCACACATCTATACATGCCAGCTGGTGGGTCTGATATACATTCACAAATGTGGTGATGATATTTATACAATTATTACAATATTGCATAACAGTAAATCTTCTATTTTTTGGTGTGAATAACAATTCATTATGTGAATAAAAAATCAAAATGAAATTTATTTTTAAAGCCTCAAAATGTAACTAATAAACAGAGGAAATGTTAGTTTAGTTCCAGGAATACCTACATTGTTTGTTCTCGACCCTATTTTGAAATTGGAATATTTTGAACTTTGTGTTAAATTGCCCAAATTACCAATTTCCGATCACTTTATTTAGTAGTTGAAACAGTTGACTTGGCGATTTCTTGTGCTCAATCGATAGAATAGAAGTAATACTAGTGAAACAGCTAAGAAGTTGGTCGACTAGAATAATGTAATTGGCCTAAAATGGGAGTCAAAGTCGGCAAAATCGTCATTTCGTAAATATTGCTGACACATCAAAATTCGTGAGAGCATAATTTCATCAAATTTCCATCACATTTCGTCCTTTTTTGTTTTATTACCTTCACAAAAAGATTCTCTACCATTTCATAAGAAAAAAAATAAAAAAAATTTTTTTTTATTTCTTGGACAATGGGGCACCACTTCAGATTTTGGCCTTGGACCCTGAAGGGGTTAAGAAAGCCTATTGAACAAATGGATTTGTCAGTTAAAAACAGAGTACATATAATAATGTTGTTAGAATTACCAACAATATGTAAAGTAAAAGGACACAAGCGCAACTAATGTGACATTTTATTGTGGCAACGTTTCGCTCTCCAGGAGCTTTGTCAAGCCGGCTTGACAAAGCTCCTGGAGAGCGAAAAGTTGCCACAATAAAATGTCACATTAGTTGCACTTGTGTCCTTTTACTTTACATAAAAACAGAGTAGGGGAGTTAGTAGATGGAGAGAGGGAGGCTTTGGGTAGATGGCGAGAATATTTTGAGGAACTAAGGGAGGCGGTAATTTCATGCACTGGACAAAGGGGTATACCATCTTTTAGGAGTGAAGAAGAACAGGATGTGAGTGTGGGGGAGGTGCATGAGGCATTACGTAGAATGAAAGGGGGTAAAGCAGCTGGAACTGACGGGATCATGACAGAAGTGTTAGAAGCAGGGGGGGGGGATATAGTGTTTGAGTGATTGGTATTTTTGTTTAATAAATGTATGAAAGAGGGGAAGGTACCTAGAGATTGGTGGAGAGCATGTATAGTCCCTTTATATAAAGGGAAGGGGGACAAAAGAGATTGTAAAAATTATAGAGGAATAAGTTTACTGAGTATACCAGGAAAAGCGTACGGTAGGGTTATAATTGAAAGAATTAGAGGTAAGACAGAATGTAGGATTGTGGATGAGCAAGAAGGTTTTAGAGTAGGTAGGGGATGTGTAGATCAAGTGTTTACATTAAAGCATATATGTGAACAGTATTTAGATAAAGGTAGGGAAGTTTGTATTACATTTATGGATTTAGAAAAGGCATATGATAGAGTGGACAGGGGCGCAATGTGGCAGATGTTGCAAGTATATGGAATAGGTGGTAAGTTACTAAATGCTGTAAAGAGTTTTTATGAGGATAGTGAGGCTCAAGTTAGGGTGTGTAGAAGAGAGGGAGACTACTTCCCGGTAAAAGTAGGTCTTAGACAGGGATGTGTAATGTCACCATGGTTGTTTAATATATTTATAGTTGGGGTTGTAAAAGAAGTAAATGTTAGGGTGTTTGCGAGAGGGGTGGGATTAAATTATGGGGAATCAAATACAAAATGGGAACTGACACAGTTGCTTTTTGCTGATGATACTGTGCTTATGGGAGATTCTAAAGAAAAATTGCAAAGGTTAGTGGATGAGTTTGGGAGTGTGTGTAAAGGTAGAAAGTTGAAAGTGAACATAGAAAAGAGTAAGGTGATGAGGGTATCAAATGATTTAGATAAAGAAAAATTGGATATCAAATTGGGGAGGAGGAGTATGGAAGAAGTGAATATTTTCAGATACTACTTGGGAGTTGACGTGTTGCCGGATGGATTTATGTTGCCGGATGGATTTATGAAGGATGAGGTTAATCATAGAATTGATGAAGGAAAAAAGGTGAGTGGTGCATTGAGGTTTATGCGGAGACAAAAAAACATTATCTATGGAGGCAAAGAAGGGAATGTATGAAAGTACAGTAGTACCAACAGTCTTATATGGGTGTGAAGCTTGGGTTGTGAATGCAGCAGTGAGGAGGCGGTTGGAGGCAGTGGAGATGTCCTGTCTAAGGGCAATGTGTGGTGTAAATATTAAGCAGAAAATTCGGAGTGTGGAAATTAGGAGAAGGTGTGGAGTTAATAAAAGTATTACTCAGAGGGCTGAAGAGGGGTTGTTGAGGTGGTTTGGTCATTTAGAGAGAATGGATCAAAGCAGAATGACATGGAGAGCATTTAAATCCGTAGGGGAAGGAAGGCAGGGTAGGGGTCGTCCTTGAAAAGGTTGGAAGGAAGGGCTAAGGGAGGTTTTGTGGGTGAGGGACTTCCAGCAGGCGTGCGTGAGCATGTTCGATAGGAGTGAATGGAGACGAATGGTATTTGGGATCTAACGATCTGTTGGAGTGTGAGCAGGGTAATATTTAGTGAAGGGATTCAGAAAAAATGGTTATTTTTATATAGCCGGACTTGAGTCCTGGAAATGGGAAGTACAGGTACAATGCCTGCACTCTAAAGGAGGGGTTCGGGATATTGACAGTTTGGAGGGATATGTTGTGTATCTTTATACGTATATGCTTCTAAGCTGTTGTGTTCTGAGCACCTCTGCAAAAACAGTGATTATGTGTGAGTGAGGTGAAAGATTTGAATGACGATGAAAGTATTTTCTTTTTGGGGATTTTCTTTCTTTTTGGGTCAACCTGCCTTGGTGGGAGACGGCCGACTTGTTATAAAAAAAAAAAAAAATCTATTCTCTCATATCTAGGCCAAAATTTGTAGCTCACGGCTTATCTGAGTGAGCCGACCTCATGACAGAATTAAGGAAGGGACCTTGGACTTAATGCCATAGTTTTACATGATGGGCACTGACAGGGTTAAATAAAAATTGGTAAATATACATTAACCTAAAGAAACATAACTAACCAAAAATTACAAATTTTAAATTTTGGTCTAATATAAGAATGGGCATAAATGCACACATGCATATTCAGGAAAAAAGTGAACACCCAAATGTTAATTTTCCAAATTAATCTTATTACACATAGATGAAACTTATTACCTTGCCGATTTCTAGTGATCTTCGGTTTTTCTTGTTTAACAACATATCTCTCATGAGGCCAACAATTATAGATGCTGTAGATCTGAAAGAAAGAAATGGGAGATGTAATACATTAACAGAATATGTGTTAATACATGCTAACTTGACTTTTAACAAAAGTATACAAAAGGGATGAAGCCTAAATTCAGCTACAGTGGACCCTTGGTTTCTCTTGAGTCTTGGTTATCATGAATTTTGGTTATCGGCAACTCTTTTCGTGAAAATACAGGCTTGGTTTTCGTGATGCCCCTTGGATTTCGGCAGTGGTACGGTACGTATCCCAGGGTCCCGTGCACACAAAGCCTACCACAGATGCACTCAGTGCCAGTTTGGCATTGTTTATCGGCGCATGAACATTGCACCCTGCATTCATACAAAACATTTTGCAATAAGCCAGCGTTTTTTGTGCTTGCAACTGCTAAATAAGCCACCATGGGCCAAAAGAAAGCTCCTAGTGCCAGTCCTATGGTAAAAAAGGCGAGAAACAAGATAGAATTCAAGAAAAAACTCGTAGCAAAGTACCGAAGTGGAGAAGGAAGACAGAGGGGAGAATGTGCCTTCTTCAGTGATTCTACGATATGTACAATACTAAAGCAGCAGGAGTTAATAAAGGCTATAGCACCAGCCAGCGATAAAGTGTAGCATTAACAGTTAGGCAATTAAGCGATAGAAAAAGGATGACACAAAACTTAACTCCTCCAATGTTACTGGAGGAATGTAGAACCACTGACAAGACTGCCACGCCACCACCACTATATGGCTTACGCTGCCAGTGGCCTTGATAACCCAACAACAACAACAAAACCATCACTAGTCATACGTAATGACATATTTTATGCATTCTAGAGTACATCATGTTTCCATGTTATTAATATTGTTTATGTCATATTAGATGAACTCTGATAGATAAGTAAGCTGTAGAGTTGACATTAGCATCATACTTAAGCATTTTGTTCCATCTCCAAACAATAAACTTGCCTCCCTCTCCCCTCCTCCCTGTCTTCCATACACCAACAAGAGTCTTCAATAAAGGTAAGTGTGATGTTAAATGTTAATTTATACATTTTTTAGTGCTTTATATTGATTTGTCATTCTTTTCTAGATGTAAATCTATATATAATCTCTAAAAAAATTATTGTTTGTTTATACTTTTGGGTGTCTGGAACAGACTAATTGGATTTACATTATTTCTTATGGGGAAAATGATTTTGGTATTCGTGAATTTTGGTTATTGGCAGACTCTCTGCAAAGGATTAATCATGAAAACCAAGGGTCCACTGTATTTCCAGTCCTTTCAAAATCAACTCTAATATGGTCTCTGTGTGTACAATGTTCGATTTTTACCAATGTTCAGGAGTAAACAAATTACACCACACATCCAATACACGTCAACTGGGGAGTCTAATATTCTTTCACTAGTGCACTGATATTATTTATACCATTTTTACATTAATGCAGTAGTCTGTATAACAGTAAATTTTGTATTTTTTTTTTGTATGAATAAAAAATAAAAATAGAAAGCAATAGTAATATAAGAGGGGCCTAGAGATGTGACTAATGAACAGAGGATATGTTATTTTAGTGCCAAGAATGTCTACATTGTTTATTCTGGACCCTATTTTGAAATTGGCGTCTTTTTTAATTTGCGTGAAATTAGCCAAATTGCCAATTTCTGACCACTTTACTGGGTAGTTCAAATCGGTAAATCGGCTGTTTCTTGTACTCAACTCATAGAAAAAATGGAGTTCTAAAGAAACAGCTATGAGTTTGGTCAACTGGAATAATGGAATTGGCCAAAAACGGCTCAAAGTTGGCGAAATTGCCGATGCGTATATGTCGTCGAGACCTCTAACTTCGCGGGAACATAATTCCATGAGTTTTTGACCAAATTTCGTACTTTTGGTGTCATTACCATCGGGAAAAGATTCTCTATCATTTCATAAGAAAAAATAATTTTTTTTCCCAAAAATTTGTTGACATAGAATGACAGTTTCAAAAAGGGGCCTGCGACAGTCAAAGGGTTAAAAACCACTTGCCTCCAGTTACTCAGATCTAACACACACTCAGAAGCCTACTGGATGCTTCAGTTCCTAGCACTCAAAACCTCCTTTACCTCTCTCCTTCCTACTGTTTCTCTTGCTATCCTATTATTTTTCCTTTTTAAATGGTCAAACTCCTACCTGAAGGGTGTCCCTGAGGTTAGTGCCAGTAACAACCTGGTTGATCATGCCCTGAGATACCAGGCATTCTGGTAGATCAGGGCTTGATCAACCATGTTGTTACTACTGGCTGCATGCAATCCAACATATGAACCACAGCCCAGTTGGTCGGGTACTGTGAGTATCTGTCCAGCTCCCTCCTTGGAGACAACTAGTGGTATACCGGTAATCCGCCATTAAGTATGCTGTGAGGCAGTCGAGTCTTGGGCCCCTGACACTTATTGTGTGGTCTCCTAGTGTACTCACAGCAATCCTGCTTTTCACTGGGGGGATGTTGCAACACCTGCAATTCTGTGTGGATATTTTTGACTACTTCTCAGAGGATTTCCCAGGTGTAAGTTATGATGCATCTTTCTCAACTGTGTTCCAAGGAGTACAGGTCAAGGGACATTAACCCTTTCAGGGTTCGTGCCATAGATCTACGGCTTTCCGTTCAGGGTCCAAACCGTAGATCTACGCCAAAATTCTAGCGGCGTCATATTTAGCGTGAAAACGCTGGTAGGCCTACATGTGAGAGAACGGATCTGTGTGGTGTGTGTGAGCCATAAACAAAATTCTAGGCACCCGCATAGCATTGTGGGAATGCCGGCTCAGTTACCTTTGTTCACCATGCCTTGTCTCAAGGCAGCTCTCACACCAAGGAAAATTGGGACTCTCCTCTTTCTATCTGATAGTTCTGACTCTGATGGAAGTGGAAATGAAGACGAATTCTTTGGCTTTGATCAGTTAGTGACTGAAAGTAATGACCAGGATATTGATAATAGTGCAGAAAACCCTGACGATCCTCAACCTTCTACCTCTGGTGTGGGCACTCCTCAGTCATGGTCAGTTGTACCTCATCGCAAGAGAAAACTATTATTTTCGCGTGGCCAGGCCTCTGACTTCAGTAATGATGATGATAGTGATGTGGATTGTGATTTTATTCCTCTTGATGATCATTCGAGTAGTGATAGTGAGGAAACATATTCACCAGTTAAGCGCTGGTACATACGCCGCCGCATGCGCTCGGGTAGTGTAGCCTATGCAGTGCCAAGGGGATGGAGTACATCCCGGAGTACATCCTGTGGCCCTACACCAGGAATAGACAGTGAAAGTGAGGATGATGTGGCTACACTTGGCATGGATAGACCACGGGCATCAGTAGGTGGTGGTAGTGGTGATGGTTGTGCCACGGCCATGTGTGACTCACAAACCCAGGCTGGGACCCACGCTGCTGACTCCTCAGTTCAAGGACAAAGCGGAGCGTCAGCCACCAGCCCACCACAACTACAACTACCAGCACAACCATCCTATGATGTCCAGTATCCACCAGCAAACCGTATCTGGGATTGGCAGCAAAATCCCAATTTTGTTCCCAAGCCCCACCACTTTGATGACTCTCAAAGTGGAATTCTACCTACTTGTCCCCTTGGAACCACAGCCAATGAACTGGAATTTTTTTAAATATTTTTTGACCAGCCCTTGATGGAAACTATTGTCAGGGAAAGTAACAAGTATTTTGAGTACACCATGGTAAATACGATCATATCACCACAGTCAAGACTACACCGGTGGAAAGAGATGACTGTTGCAGGAATGTATTTGCTTTTTGCAACAATAATGCTTATGCCTCATGTCTATAAGCATAATATAGAAGCATACTGGTTCACAGATTGGCTAATTTCTACCCCGGTCTTCAGTGAAATCATCCCAGTGAACAGGTTAATCTTACTGTTACATATGTTTCACTTCTCTGACAAAACCAGGCCTGACAGAAGTGACAGGTTATACAAGATATGAAATGTTTTTATGTATCTGAAAGAAAAGTTCAACATGTACTTTTATCCATTCAAGAATCTTGTACTTGACGATTCCTTGATTTTGTTCAAACACTATATACTGAGCAAGAGGAAATGCTTTGGTATAAAAATGTTTGTGCTCTATGACTGTGACAGTGGCCTGGTATTGGATATTGTTGTATACATGGGAAGTAAAACATTGAAAGATACCAGGAAGCTATTGGGTATCTCAGGTGACGTAGTGAGAAGCATGATGGCACTTTATCTTGGTAAGAGGTATACATTATATACCAATAACTGGTACACAAGCCCATTACTCAGTGATTTCTTGCGAGTGAACAAGATAGATGTGTGTGGCACAGTGCGCTCTAATCGTAAATATATGCCCAGGTTAAACGCAGGTGCTCGTGGAGACAAGGTGCAGGTGTTTACTGCCAATGACATCATGGCATTACGGTGGCATGACAAATGAGATGCCACACTGTTGACAACCATTCACCATAACGAAATGCAAGACAGTGGCAGAGTTGATAGAATCACTAATGAACATATTCAAAAACCAGTGACAGTGATTGATTATACACAAAACATGCGTTTGGTTGACAAATGTGACATGCTGCAGTGGCTTTCTGATTGTTGTAAGAAGTTAAAAATGGTACAGGAAACTTTGGTATCTCATGACGTATGATTCATGATGCATCTTATATGTGTGAAGACTGGTCAAACTAGGACACACCGTATCAGTGATTTTGTCGTCTGTGTAACAAATAATGTGAAGTACAGTGGCTCTTCGAATTATATGCATTTTCGCATTCAAAAGGTAGTTGTTTTTATGCAATAATATATTTACTGTGATTAAATTGAGATCACACTGGCCATTCCCAACGAAGCAGGGTGGACAATAAGACAAAACTTTCAAAGAAACAGTACTAGTGTATTATTATAAAAAATGTGTTTGGTTACAATGTGGACATGCATATCGTTGTGGTATTCATAACGTTAAATTACAGAATTTCGTCATACATGGCTTTAAACTATAAATTTTG